ATCTAACAATTTTATTTTCTACACTGCTAAGTTTAAAAATCATCCTGAGAAATCTGTGAATATTAACTTACAATGATAGTAGTGTGATATTAGAAGTTAGTTCACCAAAGTGGGGAATGCCACTTAGTTCATTGTGATTCATCTTCCTGAAAAAAAGATTTATTTAGTAGACTCAAAAAGAAGTCAAATCAACAAAAATAGAGTAATATTCTTGTTCTATGTGCATTTTTTTAAAAAAAAATCTAGAAGCTTTCTAAGTAGTGAACTTCATAAAAACCAAACAATTCAAAGCACCTAAATACATTTATTTTATTATTTGAATTCAGTCATTCTGGCAAAATAGAAAATTTTGCAAACAAGTATGTTTGTTTGCAAAGTACGGACTAGCACAGAAGTCTCACTGTGCTGAAGTGATACTTCTGAAGAACACTGATTTTCTCACTAAAATACTACGTCAAGGATTATTGGAACAATATATTCATAAGAGCTTTAAAAGTAAATTGAGTAATTATTTGAGTTAAATCAACAGAATTGATTCCCAAATATTCATAAATGTATTATTTCTCAGAACTAGTCTACTTCTTTCTGGAGAAAATTAAACATGTAAACACTAGTTAATTTTAAATTCTATATTAAAAGAAAAACATTTCTATATATGCAAACTAATTTAAGAACCATAAGTAGCACTTAGACTTATATACAGCTTTACAGCCCTCTCTAAGCGGTTTACAGAGTCACCATATTACCCCCAACAATCTGGGTCCTCACTTTACCCACCTCGGAAGGATGGAAGGCTGAGTCAACCTTGAGCCTGGTAAGATTTGAACTGCCAAATTGCAGGCAGCAGGCAGGCAGCAGAGGTAGCCTGCAGTACTGCACTATAACCACTGTGCCAAAACATATATACATTCAATGAACTTTCTAAATCTGGAATTCTATGCATCTGAATATGCGCCTACTAAAGGAACATAATGTTCAATTTAAGAAATGGTATCATTGTACCCTATAAAATCCAAACTGTACACTTCTCAGCTAAATTATTTTAATGATTAGAAACATAGGTGGTACTCCCTAGTCAAACCTGGCTACACTTAGAAAAAGCCAATCAAGGTCAGATTGGGCTAGCAATTTATTGGGGAACCACAGGCAACTTCAGGGCTATAGGTCTGAGTAAGAACTGGGCAGAAGTGAACAGAAAGAATAGATCCCTCTTCCCTATTGTACCAAATAACCTGTATGCTCTTGTGATCATCAGATGTAATCTGACCCAAAGTCAGACTTTAAACAAAAAATTATTTTGAATCCCATGCTAGAGAAAAAAATGCTCAGGACTTTTCTCTGTACATCAGTGTGAAACTCTCTGAAAACATAACACATATTGACCAAATTTGGGGTGGGGAAAGAAGCTGTGAAAAGAAAAATTGAGTTTAAACCAGATCAAGCTGGAGGCTTCAGAACAAAGTTGTATGTTCTACACCTTTTCGGCTTTGCAGACTGGTGGAAGGGTGGGAGAGGGATGGTTCCATGCATGCGGCAGGCAAGCACACATGCAGCTCCATTTGTGAGTGGTGAGCAAGCTCGCCCGCTGCTTGCACAAATGGAACACATGCACTCGCCCGCTGCTTGCACGAGTGACGGATGCACATACATGCCCTGGCCCGCCACTTCTGTGGCCCAGTTCCAAAAGGCCCAATGCCTGATAGTGGGATACGACTCAGGCCTACTCCCTCCTCCTTCCTAGTCATAGGATCCAGAATGATTATTAAAGGCTCAGCAATAATTGCAGAAGCCATAATCTGAATGGCTTATTTTATTTTTCCATTGCATTTGCAACCCATACTGAGGGTGTCTAAGGCAGTTCAGTATTAATATGCCATTATATCACAACTCCTATCATATTTAATCCTTTTTCCCCTTCCCTTCTTAAAACTCTTTCACTGACGATCCTACTGTTAGAAGCTTTTTGTAATTTTTTCTGCTCAATCTGTCATTTTCAAATATCACGTCACTTGACATATAACAACCCTTAATGCCATATCACTTAGTTTATTACTTTACAGCTAAAGTAACTTACACTTCTTGCAGCATTTGACCCGATGAATCAATACTCCAATTAGAGGATAACAAATTATTATGACTCAAATCTCTGCAAGCAAAAAAGAAAATTATAACATTATTTAGACAGCTTAATATGAAATTCATGTCACAAAATCTTGACACTACCTTCATTTCTAACTTTTTTAGTTGCATATAGGCAAGTATCACAAGAGAATAGACAGGAGAAACTGTTGCCTGGCCAGGGATAATGTGACAGGGGAAGGAACCCTTGTTTGAGAGGTTGCTAATGAAATTCTATTATCTGAAATGGGCAAAATTGATATTCTACAATCTACAAAGTTGTGCCCAAAACCAAGAATGACACATAGTAATTCTTTCAAGCTGGGTTCTTTATTGTTTTACACCCATAGACACAATCTTGTCAGACTACATGATTGTGTCTATGAGTGTAAAACAATAAAGACTCTACTATCTGCATCTATAATACACTCTGTGAACTACAGGTAGTCCTCTACTTATAACAACTGAGTCCATAATTTGTTATGTGAGACATTTGTTAAGTAAGTTTTGCACCATTTTACGATCTTTCTTGCCACCGGTTGTTAAGTTAGTCAGTGTAGTTGCTAAGTTAGTAACATGGTTGTTAAGTGAATCTGGCTGCAAAAGGTGATCACATGACCTTGGGACACAGCAATGGTTATAAGTATGAATCAGTTGCCAAACATCTGAATTTTGTTCACATGATCATGGAGATGCTACAAAGGTTGTAACTCGTAAGTTACTTTTTTCAATGCTATTGTAACTTTGAACAGTCACTAAAGGAACTATTGTAAGTAGAGGACTACCTGTATTAAGGAGGTGTTGGATCACATGATATCTGAGCTGAGTTGCCTGGTACTCCACTGGAATGCATCCCCTCCCTCCTGGGGATCCATCTCCTCACTATAATCCATCACCAGTAGTGTACATTCCATCCTACACAGCCAACTAAATAGTCTACATGTCCACATTTGTTTAGCTCAGCAATGGTATTTATTTTTATGGCAACAATATTTATGAATTAGTTCATTACAAAGTTACTTCACTGATAAAAACAATATTTAAAATTAACAGCACAGCCAACAATGGCAAAACAAAATCTAGGAGACAATCCAAATACTTCCTGATATGATGAAGTTGACAGACTTACATTCTTTAGCATATGACTCAGCACTAATTTCAAAACACTGTTTCTGATGAAATGTCAGACACTAAACTTCAGAACCAGTCTCAGTTTGAAGGTTACTATGCATACTCCATAAAAACACACTCAAATATATGTCCAACTATCTTTTTCAGAACAAAATCTGAAGGCTTACATAAAAAGGTATCTAAAGTGTTCTATTATATAATATTCCTGAATCCACAACATTTATAACTCTCCCCACTACAATCCTGTTGATACCAGAAAACAGAATACTTTAAATTGTTATTAATCAGTTATTAGAACATATTAACATTTGCTGGTGATGCAAAACTTCAAAAATATAAAAATATAAAGCAAAAATTATTATAAACTTGTAATTTTTACTCACATGCAAATTTAAACACGAGAAATAAGCAGACGAAAAGCACCTGGGAAGTCCATACATTATAGCTTTTCTTCTGACCAATTATGTCCCACATGTCGACTGTTAGTGACTATGTGAAACTGTCCCTAACCCAGTGATTCCTAACGTGGAAACCACAGGGGAGGGGGCTATCTGATTTTTAATGGGGGCAATTTGAAACTTGTTTAAACCATGTTAATGGCCTTTTAGGCTTCCTCTGCGTGAGTAGAGTTCACTTTTTGAGTAAAGTAAGAATTATGTCACCTGGGGGGCGGGCATTAGGATTTTAAAGAAGCTTAAGTGGGGCATGGCCAAAAAAAGGTTGGGAACCACTGCCCTAACCTGTCTTTCAGATCTTCTACCAGTGCCTTTCAATTACAGGAGTGTATAAAGAATGGCAATGACAAGAACAGTGAATGCCATGGAGTAAGACAAAATAGAGGCTCCTATCATCACAACAGTAGGGAAACTGAAGAACTATTTAGTTGCTAGGAAGTCTGGCTGTCACAGGTTCTTTTATGTATACCCAAGTCAGTGGACTCCAAAACCAAGAAAGCCACACAGGTTTAGGCAACACAAGCACCCATTGCTCACTGCTGCACTTTTTCCTGCTTCTACTACACCTCATCCTCCTGCTCCTCCAACTATTATTCTTACGAGTCCTATTGCGGAAAACAGTACCTTTTTCTATTTCCTTTAGGTTGCTTTAGAAACACACAAACAACCTTCCATCTTTCCCACACACTCTGTTGCCTCTCTGGTCAGCATATTTAGACAACAGTTCTTGTACTTCCTAGGGAGGGGCCTTCCAGAGATAGGCAAAAGTAGCACAGGAGCTAGCCATTTGGCAGCCCTCACTGGCTTAATTTCTAATGCCCCAATGTTTGTCCTTCTTACCTGCCTCCAATGATAACTTGCATTTCTTTCAAAAAAACTCCTATAACATTATCATTCACCCACTTTATCAGTTAGTTCCCCCTCTATTTAACCTTACTAAATTTAGATTTTTCTTTTCTGCTCCATCCTCTAAATCACATGCCCATAAGTATGCAAATTTCTATTTCTTCATTACCTCAAGGGAATACCTAATCTTTATTTGTCCCATTATTAATTCTTCTTGCATTCCATTAAACTGTATCCATCTCCAAATCCATTTGAAGGGATTTATTTTATTTTTCTTCTTTCCCAATGTCAAGTTTCACAGCTGCATATCAGTACTAGAAAGACAATTGCTTTAAGTATCCTACTTCATGTGTTAATTTATCACCGTCCTCTTAATTTTGGATAACAAAGTATATCAGTTACTTATTTCAACTTATCAATGTTTTAATCTGTAATTCTGATTTAAACTCCTTCTCTTCCAGTAATAACATTCTTAGAATATATTCAATATAATTTAAACAGATATGTTGGCAATATAAATCTCTCTCATTCCTATTTCGTAATATTTTGTTTCTATGGTTTCTATTCTTATAGTAGCTTTCCATTCATGATAAATGTTACTTAAAGGACTAATAACTATTTTGGAATACCTGTTAGATTTAAAATATTCTAAATTTTTGGAAGATGATTGAATGCAGTGGTCCCCAATTCCCTGGTCCACGGCCTATTCACAACCAGGCTGTGGAAGTGGTGGGCAAGTGTACCTGTGTGCACTCGCACACGTGAAGCTGCATTGTAAAACTGGCACATGTGCAAAACCATCCTCTCCCCTCCCCCCCGCTAGCCAATTGAGCAGGGAAGGTTGGGGAACACTGGTCTAATGGAAAGCAAACTGTTCCTGGAGCAGTAGGAACTGCAGTGAGACATAAAGTGGTAGCCAGATAATAAATGTTGATCAGCAGATTGTCTCTGGAGAAGGAGAGACTGGGAGATTGTCCATCTACACTCCAGGCAGCTACTCCTTGTGAGGAGGCTTGTGGGTTTGTGGTCAACTTGTGAGTTGAATGGCTGGATTCAAAGGTTTTCAAACGTGTCCACAATGCAATGCAGCTAATACTGGATGTAATGTTTGCAAAAGCTTCAGTTTATTAACTGTTATCAGATATAATCAATATAAAGTTAAAAAGAGATCTTCCAATTGGCAGGATACAGGAAAACCTCTTGGTAAGTCAACTTTCTTTCTAAGTCAAAAAAAGTGAAATAAATGTTTTAAAACAGCAGTTCCCAACTTTTCTTGGACCAGCAGCGGCAGCAGCGAGAGGGGAGAACAGGGGGTGGTTTTGTGCAGGCTTTGTGCAGGCTTCTATAGCCCTATTCTCAGGTTTTAAAGGATTTTGAACTATTACTAAAAAAAACTGCTGAAGAAAGCATAAATGGATAAAGGAAGCAATAATATTGAAAGATTAATTTTTGGCAAAAGTGCTTTTGAAAACATTAGAACTAAACACATAAATGGACCAGACTTTTGTGCAAATGTTATTTGTTTGATGTTAAAGAAGTCAGACAATTTGTGGATTTTACAAAACAAAAACAGAAAGGTAATATGAAACAGACTTTATGACTATCATAGTGTCAAATGAGATTAAGTATTAAGGACATAGAAAAAGCAAAACAGAAAAAAAGGTGGGCAGACTGCTTTTTATTTTTTCCCCTTGTACTCAAGGCACTTTCACTTTTGGATTATAATATTAGAAGAGCCATCACCAGGAAAGTAGCAAAAGCAGGAAGGAGAGAATTGTTAGAGCAACTTACAGAAAGGGGATTACCCTGGAGATGTTGCAGAAAATGTTTGAAGAATATGTCAGTAAGATATCTGAATATTACTTTGGCGACTTGTGAAGAAAGAATGGAAGATTTATAAAGACGAAAATGAAGTAGTAGTTAAGAAACTATAATACTTTCCTGAAATCCCTTCTTCTTTAATTCTCCACTCTGTGAGGCAGAGTGGGGAGAAGTGTCAGGTAAAGAGAGAGATGGCCTGCAGAAATTACTTTTCTCTGGAATGCTTTAATAAGCCTTACTGTTATTTTTCACACTTGTAGTCTTTTCTGATGTACCATAAACATTGATGTTTACATTGCACTCTCCTGTTACCTAATTCCATGACACCAAAACTGTTGTTAGGAAGACTCACCCGAAAGCAAAAACAAAGGATTTAGAGGTAGAAATAACAAAAAACATACTGTATTGGAAATGCAGTCAGTAAGAGGGCTCCCTGCTGGCAACATTGGAAGCAGGTAGATAACAAAGGACAAAATAGAAAAAAAAGTAGACAGGTAGACAGAGAAGGGGTAATATAATTTCTTAGCACCCTTTCCCTTGGAATGCTTTGATAAGATATTAGATAGACCTACTGTTACTTTTCACACTTGTAAGTATCCTTTCTGATCTTATCAACATATACCATAAATATAGGTATTTATGTTGCATTCCTGTTATCTAATTCTAGATGCTTAAGGGCAAACATCTAGGTTCTCCTAAATTTCTCCATTCTAGAGCCACAGCACTGGTAGTAGGATTATAAATTTACATTATTGCTACTAAAAAAACAATTCTA